AAAAAAAAAAAAAAAAAAAGAGTTTGGGCTACAGCTCAGCGAATCCCAGCCCGGATCCGCCCCTCTTGGACCCGCCCCTGTTCCGAGCCAATGAAGACCCGGGCTGGTCCGCATCCAGAGGGGCTAGCGCCCCTGGGCCTTTTTACTCCAGTCTGGGAGGCGCTGGCGGCCTGGGAACCTCTGAAAACCGACCGAGATGGCTGTGTTTTAAGGGCTCTGCTGGGTGCCTTTGGGAGGAAGCTGGGCCAGCTGTTGCACACAGCTGGCCAAGTCCTCGTGGATCTGCAGGCCGGGTGGGTGCAGAGGTGACCCGGGTCTGGGGTCGACCTGGCGTCCCTGCGGCCACAGCAACGTCCCGTCCTGGAATCCGCACCAGTCGTATCGTGCCCTCTGGGGGGGACTTTTGGAGGCCAAAGGCAGCAAAGACCACGTGGAGATGGCACTGGAGCTGAAGGTATAGGTGCTGTCAGCCCATCCCTTTCACCCAGGAGGAAACCTGAGAACTAGCGAAAGTCTCCTCTTTGGTGTTTTGAAACAGGTTCTTGCTACCCATTCCAGGCTGGCCTTGCACTCACTACTCAGCCCAGGCTGGTCTTGAACTCATGGCAATCCTCCTGCTTCAGCCTCCCAAGGTATGGGATCACAGGTGTGCATTATCGTGCCTAGCTCTTCGGTGATTTTGACCTGTAATTTGCAAAGCCAAGGTTGGATGCACCGCTTTTACTGACCGAGAACCCAAGACCCATGGAGAAACTTTTTTTTTTCTTTTTTTCAAGGCTGGCGATTGAACCCAGGGTCTCACACATGCTAGGCAAGTTCTCTACCACTGAGGCAACCCCAGCCCTTCCATATATATTTTATGGCTCACTGGAAGAGATGAGCTTGAAAACTCCAAAAGCAAGGTAATGATAAACAGATGGAAATGTTAATTTACCCTGATGTAGCTATGCCTATAGTATACATGTATTAGAAGACTTCACTGTACCCCAGAAATAGGCACAATTATCATGTGTACATCAAACATTTTTTAAGACTTGGAGATGCCAGAGTTACCTACCCAAACCGGGTCTCCACACTCTGTATAGATGGGTGGAGTGACCACACTGTACCCCATACATTTGTACAATTAACAGGGCCTGGGATGTAGCTCAGTGGTGCCGCTGCCTGCTTTGCAAGCACCAAGTCCTGTGTTCCTTCCCTGGTATCAAAAAACAAGAGCAAAAACAAAACACCAAAAACAAAACAAAACAAAAACTCTCAGCATTTACACAATTAAAACAATCAATTTGAACAGGGAGGGGAAAGATGGGCTCCAGAGCCTTCTGATGGTAACGTGCTGTCCACTGCCAGCAGGAACTGTTCTATGTGGTTCACCTTAAGGTGCCCTGCTTTATCACTCCCTTCTGTGTGACCAGGGAGAAGTCACCCTGCTGCTCTGAGTGTGACTCTGTGAAGCAGAGACAGTGGACAGGCAACCTTGATTTTATGGGTCCAGTGGGGGGTGTTGATTGAAACTGATAATTTTTTATGTTTGAGGCAGGGTCTCACTATGTAGCCCAGGCTGGCCTGGAACCCATGGAGATCCTCCTGCCTCAGCTTCCTGAGTGCTGGGATTATAGGCGTGCGCCAGCATGCCTGCATTGCTGATGGGAATTCTGATTGCCAAAATCTCAAACTCTTCTTTCCAGCTTCACTGACTGCTTTTCACACCCAAGATCTGGAGCAGGTGCCTGCCTGATATTTCCTACCTGGAGGCAAAGAACGCAAGGATTAGAATCCCTGGAGTCCAGAGAGCTAGCCAGGGCTGTGGGCCTTTCTCGACTAATGACTCCCTTCCTTCAAAGGCTTCCTTCCACCTCATCAAAGAATCAAAATGAATCAGCAGATACATATTGAGCCTCAAGGCTGTGGGAGGGATGGGGAACAGGAAGGGGGAGGGAGCACTTCCGCCCCAGGAGTTCAGGGGCCACAATTAAACACAAAGTAGGGAAAGGTCCAAAGTGCTCCAAGGAAGGAGGGCTCTGAAGGTACCAGGCTCCAGAGTAGATAAATAGAGCACTTTCCCCGGAGACTCGAGAAGTGGGGGTAACAGGAATCTGGTTTCTGCTTGGACGAAAAGCACAAAACTCTCACTTGCTGCATGGGTGACAGTGAGCGAGTCCTTTTCCCCGACCACTGTACCCCGAGTCTGTGACTGTTCTGGGAGACAAACTCTGGAGAAGGTAAGTAGATAACCAGTCAGCCCCACACTGGAAGGCCTGCTCCGCCTTTGGGTGCCTGTGTGGCCTGGGGAAGTCAGCACACCTCTCTCTCCCACCTCTCAAGCTGTGAATCGGGAGTTGTGTGTTCTCAGCACGATTCAGAAGGGCCAGTTCTCTGGGAGGACACAAGCACGGCAGGTGCAGAGTTGTTTCCTTGTATCGGTAACAAACTGAACATCAAGGGTAGACATCCAGGGCCGGCTCCTCTCCAGAACGGGCACAGAAGAGTCTCAGGAGGGACGGTGGGGTTGGCCCCTGGGTTGTTTCCTGTCTCTCTCCTCCCCCAGGCGTGGACCACGGAGACAGAGAAACCGCACTCCTTTCCTCCCCTCCTCCCTTCCCTTTCTTCCCCACCAAGGTGCAGGGACCAAACCCCGAGCGTTGTGTGTACCAGGCCAGCCCAGCACCCTACCGCGGGGCCTCACCCAGCTGGCCTGGCTCTGCCTTGCTGAGGTCTCAGCCTGGCAGTGTGGTGATGTTAGAAGCAGGTGCTGAAGACACAGGGCAAGACAGGCCCGGGCACTTGCTCTTTCACCTCTACCCACGGAACCAGCGGGGCCCTCTTGGCAGATTCCGGGGAACCCCAGACCCCTCAAACGAATCAGTGCTGAGCGATCACCCTCCCTCTCCTCTCTCCACCCGGGGCCTCCACAGACACAGCCCCCTCCCCAGCAGCTGCCTCCCCCGGAAGCCTGGCTGGTGGCCTGTCTCCCGCTCCTGGACTGCACCCCGAATCCCAGCCACTGCTCATCTGCACATCTCCCCTCCCCGCGCTCATGTCTGGGTCCAAGCCGAGGCTGCCTCCTGCCAGGTCACTCTGCTACTGCTTTTCTGTCCCCTGCCAGTCACACCCATGGAGCACCACTCGTGGAGTCCGGAGACCCCTGCTGCTCCGACGTGACACCAGCCGGTGAGAGGCTCCCGCTCCAGTCCTCTCCTCTGCCTCCTCCCTCCACAAACACAGCTGTTCTCCGACTCCTGTGTCTGGGATACCAGGGAATCTGTATGCTTCTTCCTCCCCAGCATCTTGCTTGTAGTAGTTGATCAATAAATCGGGAATAAATGGATGAATACATGAACGTAAATGCGCCTCCAACCGGGGATGTAGGCGCTTTTAGAAGGTGGGAGGATCTTTGAAGTTTTTTTGGGAATGAGTTCTTTTTTATTGGTCTAGTTTTATTGAGGTACAACTGGCACAGATACGCTGCATGTAGTTAAAGTGCACAGTTTGACATATGTGTGCCCCTGTGAAACCATTGTCACGATCAAGATAGCGAGCACACTTCGCATCTCTTATTTTCCCTTCCGCCTCCTCCTCGCCGCTCCCACCCCAGGCAACTGCTGATCTGCCTTCTGTCCCTGCAGACTGGCTTGTGAGTCCTAAAGTTCGATAGAAAGGGAGTCACACATATAGATTCCTTTGTGTCTGGCTTCTTTCACTGGGCACAAAGGGGGAATGGGCTTCTGCGCTGTGCTCCACGGCTGAGGGTGTGACCTGGAGAGGAAGCGGCGGACGTTCCAGGAGGGAAAAATGACTGTGAACAGAATTCAAAGGCAGAAAAATGCAGGGTCACTCGGCCAGGCTCGATCAAGTGCTGCTCACTCAACAAGTGTCTGCGGGGCTCCAGCGAGGGGCTAGGCACGGAGCTGAGG